AACAGTGATTCTACGTCCAACGAGGCTCTTATCCCTGTGGCCCGTGTGCCCCGCAGTAAGTCAACAAATTCTTTTCGAGACTTCAGGCTGAAGGCGCAGGGAACATAAGGAGTCAGCAGGCCGTTGAGTCGCTTCGCCAGTCTGTACGTGGGTGTGGGTATCTGGCTAATGATTGGCCGAAGTGGGTTTCCAGGCTTGTGTGTCTTGACATTTCCATACGCATCCTCTTGACATACCAGAAAATATTCTGAGGAAACTACTCCAAGCTTGTACTAAAGAGGCACCCTTCTTGAGCCCGGATGAACACATGTATAAGCAAGTAGATGGGGTCGCCATGGGTTCTCCCCTAGGTGTCCTGTTTGCAAACTTCTACATGGGTACCATCGAGCAAAAAGTCTTAGTCGACATGAACTTGAAACCGGCCATATACTGCAGGTATGTTGACGACATTTTTACACAGGTACCTGATGTCAGACATCTGCAGGAGCTGAAGGAGGCATTTGAGCAGAGTTCCGTGCTGCGTTTCACTTACGAGATGGAAAAAGATGGGAAGCTGCCCTTTCTAGATGTAACAGTCATGGAAAAGAGCGGAGGTTTCCACACTGCAGTCTACACTAAGGAAACGAACATAGGAATGTGCCTAAATGCCAACAGCGACTGCCCAGACAGGTACAAGAGGAGTGTTGTTAACGCATATGTCGACCGTGCTCTCAGCCACAGCTCAGAATGGAAGCAAGTCAACGAAGAACTCTGTAGGGTAAGGCAGGTCCTAGTTAACAACGGCTTCTCCAATGGTTTCGTCGAAGACATCATAAGAAGGAAAGTGAAACGCCATGCAACCTCTGAAGAGACAACTAACACAACACCTATACCCCCTATTAGACTATTTTACAGGAACTTCTTTTCCACAGCTCATAAAACGGAGGAAAGGGTCCTGAAAGATATTGTTAATAGAAACGTTATCCCTACAGACAAAAATCAGAGGATACAACAGACGATTTACTATAAAAACAGAAAAACGGCCAGCCTACTCATGAGAAACTCTCCAGACACAAAACAGAACGCTTTAAAAGAGACTAACGTCGTCTATGCCTTCAAATGCCCTCTTGGGGACTGTAAGCTCCAAAAAACCCAGTATATAGGCAAGACAACAACATCTCTTTCTAGGCGTTTAACGATGCATAAGCAACAGGGCTCCATTAAGGAACATATAATCTCTTCCCACAACCAAACCATCGCCAGAGAAATCCTAGTAAACAACACAGAAATCATCGATAGATACAGCGATAGCAGGCGGCTTGACGTTTGCGAGGCACTACACATCAAGAAGTCAACACCAGCAATCAACAGCCAATTAATGCACAACTATATTCTACCCACCTCAAGACTCCGCTCCAATATAGAAGCATTAAGAAATATGGACCAATAGGCTTTCTACAAACACTTCTATTCAATACCCATTGTTTCGTGTTCTGTCTTGTGTTGATGAAATTAATACCCTATTAATGCCACCTCTTGTTCTGTCTTGTGTTGATGAAATTAATACCCTATTAATGCCACCTCACCCCATCCACCTCACTCAAATGTAGATATAAAATCGGAGATGCGTAAGTTCTATTCAGTTGTGTATTTGTAAACTAAAGTCTTTGAAAATGTAATAAGTTTTACGAAACGCGCTCGTGTCGCGTCAGACTAGAAATAAAAATGAATTTTGGAGAATTGATTTTTGATTTACCTCCAACAGTGAAAAGAAATGTACGAAAGATTGAGAAAATTCGTGTTAGAATTATTAATCTTACTTTTTCGGTCATATTTAATAATATATGTCTACAGGAAAGACTGCTACCAAAATATATTATATATATATATATATATATATATATATATATATATATATATATATATATATATATATATATATATATATATATATATATATATATATATATATATATATATATATATATATATGTATATAAAATGAGTGTGGAGAAAGTGCAATATATTGCCATACTGACTATGAAGGTTGGGGAGCGTGCGGGTGTTAACATGGACTCATATAACTGGCAGCGCGGGCCGTGTTGAGGGAGGTGTGAGGAGCTGTCACCCTCACTGCTCCATAGCGACTCCTACTCTACCACTTAAACCATTTCTTATCGTCGTCTGTGCGTGTACTTTCTCCTGAAGGTTGATGTCCAATACTTAAGAAGTTAAATTTGTTTTTTTCTGTAGGGAAAAAGTATTTTAGAATGTGCCTGTGTATTGTGTAGTATTTCCTAACGTTCCTGACTTAATATTTGTCTATTAGCCTCCTTCCATCTCTCTCTCTTGTAAACAAAGACTGTAATTCAATTACAAATGGGTTGTGATGTCGGTAATATAACTACATGTTGAGAGGTGACATGATACATATGTGACTAAGTCTGTGTGTCTTTCCTCCTCGCCCGACCACTTGGGCTGGACGGTAGAGCGACGGCCTCGCTTCATGCAGGTCGGCGTTTAATCCCCGACCGTCCAAGTGGTTGGCCACCATTCCGTTCCTCCCCCTCCCCCCCAACCCGTCCCATCCAAAACCGTTATCCTGACCTCTTCCCAGTGCTATATAGTCGTAATGGCTTGGCTGTTTCCCCTGATAGTTGCCCCCCCTCCTTGTGCTGCCCTTCACACTCTCACCTCAGCGACAGCCCCTCACACTCTCTCCTCACCGACAGCCCCTCACACTCTCTCCTCACCGACAGCCCCTCACACTCTCCTCACCGACAGACCTCACACTCTCTCCTCACCGACAGCCCCTCACACTCTCCTCACCGACAGCCCCTCACACTCTCTCCTCACCGACAGCCCCTCACACTCTCTCCTCACCGACAGCCCCTCACACTCTCTCCTCATCGACAGCCCCTCACACTCTCTCCTCACCGACAGCCCCTCACACTCTCTCCTCACCGACAGCCCCTCACACTCTCCTCACCGACAGCCCCTCACACTCTCTCCTCACCGACAGCCCCTCACACTCTCTCCTCACCGACAGCCCATCACACTCTCCTCATCGACAGCTATGGGATAAACCTGCTGGGATTGATATTAGAGGAGACTACCAGGGACTTGTGCTGAACTAAATTAAAAATTACTGTCTGCAATTGAATTCAACTAAAATCTCTAGCTAGGGTTGTAAATCCTAGCTCCTCTTTTCCTTATGACAGATTGTGGGCTGTAAGGGACAGGTGGGGTGAATGAATTAGTTGATAGAAGTTCCAGTCCACCTGTAGACAGGGATTCTCACATGAGCTTGTATTTTATACAAGGATAAGATTTAATAAATTCAGTTCTATGCTGAACACTGGCTCTGTTTAAATCAGAGATTTAAACATATACATAGTCTAGCCTAGCACCATAACTATTAACAGCCAATATGTTCTTATACTATAAACAACAATTTAAATTGTAAAGTATAATAAATGACTTTAAATGTAGTCTAAGTACTGTTAACTAAGTACTAAATTATATTCAATTAAATGAACTTATATGATAACTTAAAAAATAACTAAGCAAGCAGTTGATAACTTAATTTTTTATATTCAAGTATATATGCAATGTATTTATATTAAATTTATTTAATTAGGTACAGTCAGCTTGATTGAATCCATTCCCACACCATGGACTCTCATGAGGTTTTATTTACTTATTGCAGCTGAATCTTTTCTGACATAATGGACACTCATGAGGTCTAATGCTTGGATAAAGATTCACAGCTACACTACAATTTTAATAAACTTACTGAGATATGAGGCGTTGTCTCGCTTTATAACCGACAGACAGACTTATAGAATATTAAAGTTATACAAACATACAATTGGCCAACTAATACGCTACTGTAATAACCTTCAATATACTTATCTGAAGCCGGGTGCCTGTCTGACAAGTGTGCCAGACTGATTAACTCTCTAGTCATGAGTATAGGCATGATATTTGATATAACAGCTTTGCTGTAGATTGTTGTTGTAGCATTGCTAAGTGGATTTTTCTTTAACTGTGTTGCAGAAGAATGATAGTGGTGAAGGTGGAGACAAGTCACTGTGTGCTCCACTCTACACCTATAGATAAAAATGTTCTAGGGATTTTCCTTGTAAATATTGTCCAGGTACTCCCCCAGTTCTAGAGAGTATTCACTGGTGATAAAGATAACTAGATAAGGTGTCCTAAGCCAAATAATGTTCGCTAAGGATCCGTCACACTTGTTCACTGTGTTGTCAACAAACGCGTAGTGCCACGGGGTGTGTTGAGCACTTCTCTCCCAGCCATCGCCCCCCCCCCATGCTCCCTGAGCACGGTAGCCTTCTATGAATATTGATTGATTATTTTTACAGTCTAGACTTATGATTGAGATAAGATGTGATTATAATATAATTAGATATAGGATTTAAAGATTATAAGTAGTACTTGATAGTACCACTGATTCTTATTAAGGATTCGATTTTTAATCTCTACCGGAAGCGATTAATGTTCCAATAGTTTTTTAATTAAGAAATCCTTCTAGATGCTTCTGGATCCTTGAGAGATCATGCACAAAGTCACGTAGGCATTTATAGGGCCCCTATGGCGTATGTGATCATAGTGGCATTGTCATCTAGGATCAAGCTGTGTAATGAATCTATAATGATTCTAATATGATTTTGATATGATTTGATATGATTTTGATACGATTTAGATATGATATAGATATGATATAGAAATTATACATTTCTTAGATGATAATATTGATATAATGGGTAAAAATTTCCCACAACAGCCCCTCACACTCTCTCCTCACCGACAGCCCCTCACACTCTCTTCTCACCGACAGCCCCTCACACTCTCTCCTCACCGACAGCCCCTTACACTCTCTCCTCACCGACAGCCCCTCACACTCTCTCCTCACCGACAGTCCCTCACACTCTCCTTACCGACAGCCACTCACACAGTCTCCTCACCGACAGCCACTCACACAGTCTCCTCACCGACAGCCACTCACCACGCGCAGGAACGAGCACGAGAGGTCCAGGAAGGTCATCAAGGACACTTGGCACAAGGAACTCAAGCGGGTTACCGAAGCTGTCTCCAACCTCAAGAAGTCCAAGGTCATCTACTTCCAGCGCCAGCAGGTAAGGTTATCTACTTCCAGCGCCAGCAGGTAAGGTCATCTACTTCCAGCGCCAGCAGGTAAGGTCATCTACTACCAGGACCAGCTGGTAGTAGTGACCTTTCTCTCTCTCTCTCTCTCTCTCTCTCTCTCTCTCTCTCTCTCTCTCTCTCTCTCTCTCTCTCTCTCTCTCTCTCTCTCTCTCTCGCTCTCTCTTTCACACACACACCATGCCGTCTCATGTTTTAAACGTGATACGCGTGTTCATTAGGAAACAGTACTGTTGTTGCTCTACATTACCTTACCTGAAGCCGCCCCATAAACGAATATTGTATTAACCCATTATTAGTTTCCATTCGGATCCAATTACACTTGATAATAAGTTACCATTGTGTTATTGACTGGAGGAAGCTGGTGCCACCTTTGTGCCTGAGGCTCAAGATGGCTGTAAACTTGTGCTTCATAAAAGGTTTACACACCCTCACCTAAGGTGCAAGATACGGCTTAGCGCTGTAAACCTCTTGGCTGCCACTGTAGTGGCAGGCTTACCATGTGCCTCTACATCACTGAGGAGTCGCAGTTCATGTTGGGTATCTGGGGCTTTAACTCATATATTGAAATTATTTGATTATTATGATTGACATAAATCGAAGGACCACCCACTTGAGAAAAGAGGGAAAACAAACAAAAGTGATTATTTGATTGACACTATAGAACCAGTGCCTATGTACGATAATTAACTTAACAAATCACTTGAAAATAATGAATAGACAGTATTATTAATTAATTAAAGTCAAAGCCTCAAATATCAACATGGGGGGGGGGTATTTCTAGAAGTTCATATATATCTAGGAACCAGTGTGGTTCGTCACTAGTTCATTGTTGAGTTAGTAACATAGCAAATCTAAACTAATATAGATTCAAAGATATGATATCTCAAATAAAGAACATATTAAAAGGTTATGCAATATTGAGCAATAATAAGAGCAAAACACATTAAACACTAAGCCATAAATTCTGGTATTAAACTATTCACTGTAAAATTCCTATATGTGAATTTATATAGAAACTATTAATAATCTTAGCTAAAGTTATACGAAAGAGGGTGTCTTAGCTGTAAGACGACTTCTGTAATTTCGTTTCGTTACTCGTCCTCGTGACCACATGATCCCAATAAGGAAAGAACCCGTGGAAATTATCGTGAGTGATGAGAGACAACTTGTTAACTCCTCGTTTACACGCTGCAATCAGGGAAAATTAAGTAGCATTGTATTAGGCTATAAATTATTTCAAGTATTCATTGAAATTGAAATAAATGAAGAAAATCAACTAACGTTGTATTTTTGTTGATCTTGCTTCGTTACGACAGACTACCCACAAATATACAATCTAGGATGATGCATCAAACGAGAATGGTATACTTAACATGAGCGTATCAAATACTAAGGTCTGCCGAAACCGTGTCTGCCAGTCCCAGGCGTCCACTGCTGTGTACGCGTAATTACGGGCCGTGACTTCAATTGTTCATGCGTTATTAACTTGTAGGGCACTGTAGAACACGTGGGGAGATAATTGGTGACTATTGGTGGAGTTGTAACGTAATTAATGTTGGAAACTCTTCAGTCACACCACCTCCAAGCGTCTTCCCTTCCTGATCGCTAGTCGAACACATGAGGACTAATGGTGTCTCGCCGCTCGCGTCCCTCTCAACCCCCTCCTCGCATTCACAATAGAATTTAGTAATCACGGAGAACTCATTTCCATGTAATTATTGAAGTAATGCTCTAAAAGAATAGGGTTGCAATTGTAGGGAACTATATTGTTTATATTCTCGCTAGATAGTGTTGATTAAGCACCATTTCCTTATTAACGAGAAATGGAAAATATTTTCATGGCGTTCGTATGTAACAGATAAAACTGTTATTTAGTGATAACCTTAGTTAATAACTCTCAGTTAATGGATCATTAGGAGTTATATTGTCAGTAACTAATTATTATACAGTATACTGATAAAAGTAGAGAACCATATTCAATCCTCTAACATATTGGTAATAATTGTGTCTAGATAGACATTATCTGACGCAATGCTGCCTCTCTATGTCGTGAGAATGTCAGTAATTCATGTGCAGATAAAGAAATATTAATTTATGTTAGTATTACAGTTAGTAAGGCTAATTGATATTGTGGTTAATATACAACAATAGTGTATTGTGATACAATAGAGATGTATCAGTGTTGGAAATTTCCAACAGTTCATCCCCAAGATGCCAACTTCATCCCTTAACAGTAGAGTTTGTCCAGTCACCAGTATGCCTGTCACAGGTTCACTGTCACCAGTATGCCTGTCACAGGTTCACTGTCACCAGTATGCCTGTCACAGGTTCACTGTCACCAGTATGCCTGTCACAGGTTCACTGTCACCAGTATGCCTGTCACAGGTTCACTGTCACCAGTATGCCTGTCACAGGTTCACTGTCACCAGTATGCCTGTCACACGTTCACAGTCACCAGTATGCCTGTCACAGGTTCACTGTCACCAGTATGCCTGTCACAGGTTCACTGTCACCAGTATGCCTGTAGCCTCGTTAAAAGTACCTTCACAGTCCAGCACATCACTACAGATGGTTATCGATTCATCCAGTAACTGATGATTCTGTCTCATTTCCTCCCTCTCAGTCTCCCTCCTCTTCTCTCTCTCTCTCTCACTCTCCCTCCTCTCCTCCCTCACCATAGTAACGTTGGAGGAGGACAAAATTGGCATTGAACCAGGTACTAATTGTAGGGACAGGCAGGCAGGTGGTGGCTGCTCTCTGACTAATTGCCCGGCTGGCCAATTACCCGCCCGCCAGCACTCACCACTTACTCAAATCTATTCCATCACTTCCTCTACTTCCCTCTTCCACAACCTCGCTCTCAACGCTTCCCTTTCCACAACCCTTTTCCTCCTTTCCACTTATCTCCTTCACTCCCATGTTTACCCTTGGGCTTTACCCAAGACAACCAGCTGGTTATTAACAACCCAGACAAAGAAACCTTTGTTGATTATTTATTATTTTTATTATTGTTATTGAAATATTGTTTTGACTCGGGCGGTGGGATCCGGGTCACCAAGGTTCATATCCCGACTATCCCTTCACCCCAAGCACCGGTCCACCACTGGTGTTAGACTGTCCCTTCACCCCAAGCACCGGTCCACCACTGGTGTTAGACTGTCCCTTCACCCCAAGCACCGGTCCACCACTGGTGTTAGACTGTCCCTTCACCCCAAGCACCGGTCCACCACTGGTGTTAGACTATCCCTTCACCCCAAGCAACGGTCCACCACTGGTCTTATACTATACCTTCACCCCAAGCACCGGTCCACCACTGGTGTTAGACTGTCCCTTCACCCCAAGCAACGGTCCACCACTGGTCTTATACTATACCTTCACCCCAAGCACCGGTCCACCACTGGTGTTAGACTGTCCCTTCACCCCAAGCAACGGTCCACCACTGGTCTTATACTATACCTTCACCCCAAGCACCGGGCCACCACTGGTGTTAGACTGTCCCTTCACCCCAAGCAACGGTCCACCACTGGTCTTATACTATACCTTCACCCCAAGCACCGGTCCACCACTGGTGTTAGACTGTCCCTTCACCCCAAGCAACGGTCCACCACTGGTCTTATACTATACCTTCACCCCAAGCACCGGTCCACCACTGGTGTTAGACTGTCCCTTCACCCCAAGCAACGGTCCACCACTGGTCTTATACTATACCTTCACCCCAAGCACCGGTCCACCACTGGTGTTAGACTGTCCCTTCACCCCAAGCACCGGTCCACCACTGGTGTTAGACTGTCCCTTCACCCCAAGCACCGGTCCACCACTGGTCTTAGACTATCCCTTCACCCTAGCACCGGTCCACCACTGGTCTTAGACTATCCCTTCACACCAAGCACCGGTCCACCACTGGCGGCTCCTGTCTTGACTCGATAACGTCACCCGTTATTCTGAGGAATAATAATAATAATAATATTTTATTTAGGAAAAGTACAAACATAGATGCAGTTACAAGCATTCAGATTATTTATAGACATACAATAATAATAATGTATTTACCTGGGCCTTACCTGGAAGAAGTTGTGAGAGCTCTTCTACTCCCCCAAGCCTAATGACAATGTTCAGCTAATAGGAATATGATGAAGGTAGGAGACGTGACCTTGACGTGTAAGATTGTGTGTGTCCTCACCAGGAGCTGGTCAAGGCCAGGGAGATGGTGGCGCGCGCTGACAACACCGAAGGTCTCGACAAACTGGAAAGAAAACGAGACGAGGCGCTCCAGAAGGTGAGCAGCTCAAACTATTTTATTATTATTCTTTTAATGACACTTTTGGAGAAAAATTCTGGTATTTCAAGGCATAATCTTGTTTTATCCTTGACGTAGTGTTTAAGGCAACATTATTATATTGTAATCTTATGATTTTCTTGTATAAAACTTGTGTAATGTATTAGAAAATATATAATGTTGATAGTCTCATTACAGATGTATATCCACATGTTCACACAATGTTAATTGGCTGCTGGTTACGTCTCCAACTACCACCACACTACTACCACTACCAGCATTGCTACCATTATCTTTACTAGTACTACTAATACTCACAGTATTACTATTGCAAGAACCGTTACCTTCGTTACTACTTCAACTACTAATCAATACTACTACTACTACGTCCACTAGTTAACTACTAGTGCTTCTGCTGTTATTTTTTAGTTCAACCACTCTTGCTACCGCTGATACGACTACCACCACCACCACCACGATTACAAGCACAACTAACCCGTCACTAGTAATATTGCTACCAATAATAATATTATTACCAATGGTATCACAACTACCACTAATACTACCATTACTGGTCTTGTAATACTACTGTTCATACTACTCCAACCACCACCACCCATTGATCTACCACAACTACTAGTACTACCACCATAACTTAATGCTGATATTACTAATCTTAATGTTAACACATTCATGCTGCTACTTCACTCAGTGCTACTAGTTAAACTACTATTACCCCAATACTACTAGTGTCCCAGATTATACTAGTACGACCAGTACTACTAGGGGCCCCGGTAGTACTAGGGGCCCCAGTACTACTAGGGGCCCCCAGTACTACTAGGGGCCCCGGTACTACTAGGGGGCCCTGGTACTACTAGGGGGGCCCCGGTACTACTAGGGACCCCGGTAGTACTAGGGGCCCCAGTACTACTAGGGGCCCCCAGTACTACTAGGGGCCCCGGTACTACTAGGGGGCCCTGGTACTACTAGGGGGCCCCGGTACTACTAGGGGGCCCTGGTACTACTAGGGGCCCCGGTACTACTAGGGGCCACCAGTACTACTAGGGGCCACCAGTACTACTAGGGGTCCCGGTACTACTAGGGGCCCCCAGTACTACTAAGGGCCCCGGTACTACTAGGGGCCCCCAGTACTACTAGGGGCCACCAGTACTACTAGGGGCCACCAGTACTACTAGGGGCCACCAGTACTACAAGGGGGCCCCAGTACTACTAGGGGTCCCGGTACTACTAGGGGCCACCAGTACTACAAGGGGGCCCCAGTACTACTAGGGGCCACCAGTACTACTAGGGGCCACCAGTACTACTAGGGGCCCCCAGTACTACTAGGGGCCACCAGTACTACTAGGGGCCACCAGTACTACAAGGGGGCCCCAGTACTACTAGGGGTCCCGGTACTACTAGGGGCCACAAGTACTACAAGGGGGCCCCAGTACTACTAGGGGCCACCAGTACTACTAGGGGCCACCAGTACTACAAGGGGGCCCCGGTACTACTAGGGGCCACCAGTACTACTAGGGGCCACCAGTACTACTAGGGGGCCCCGGTACTACAAGTAAGCGTGTACTCCGGCCACGACAGGCGCGGGAGGCGGAGGCGTGGTACAGGGCGTGTGTGAGCGAGGCCAACGAGCGCCACGGGTCGCTGCTGAGGGTGAAGAGGGACGTGCTGGTGCAGGCGCGGGAGCTGATCCTCCAGTGTGACCAGACCATGAAGGCCGTCACTGTCGGCTACTTCCAGCTCCAGCACACTGTGGCGGCCCCCGCCCCCGTCCAGGTGGGTACTGCTGCCCGTGTCCCTGTCCAGGTGGGTACTGCTGCCCCTGTCCAGGTGGGTACTGCTGCCCCTGTCCAGGTGGGTACTGCTGCCCGTGTCCAGGTGGGTACTAGTCATTCCTAGTGTGAGCTGCAGCCTTAACAAGAGTGAACTACAGCTCCCAGTAGGTTGTAGAGTCACTCAGAGGTAAGGTATAGGAGTAAAACGGAGTTCTCTGTAATCAAATACAAAATGTTAGTTTACTATAATGACTACATCCTTGTGAGGGCTGTGGTGAGGAGGGCTGCCAGCTGGCCTGGTGCCCGCTGAGGGCTGGGGGGGGGGCAGCTCAGTTTCCCATTGTAATGTCATTGTTCACTGTTATTGCTTATCTTTATGGGAATGGTTGAACTGGAAACAATGCTCACTCTGGCTTAATGATTGTTATCATACACCTTATTGGAAGTTCTCACTGGACGCATGTGTGTGTTGGCTAATTATTCCAGTAATTGATAAACAGTGTGTGTGTGTGTGTGTGTGTGTGTGTGTGTGTGTGTGTGTGTGTGTGTGTGTGTGTGTGTGTGTGTGTGTGTGTGTACTCACCTATTTGTGCTTGCGGGGGTTGAGCTCTGGCTCTTTGGTCCCGCCTCTCAACTGTCAATCAACTGGAGTACAGGTTCCTGAGCCTATTGGGCTCTATCATATCTCCACTTGAACCTGTGTATGGAGTCAGCCTCCACCACAACACTTCCTAATGCATTCCATTTGTCAACCACTCTGACACTAAAAAAGTTCTTTCTAATATCTCTGTGGCTCATTTGGGCACTCAGTTTCCACCTGTTCCCTTGTGCGTGTGCCCCTTGTGTTAAATAGCCTGTCTTTATCTAACCTATCAATTCCCTTCAGAATCTTAAATGTGGTGATCATGTCCCCCCTAACTCTTCTGTCTTCCAGCAAAGTGAGGTTTAATTCCCGTAGTCTCTCCTCGTAGCTCATACCTCTCAGCTCGGATACTAGTCTGGTGGCAAACCTTTGAACCTTTTCCAGTTTAGTCTTATGCTTGACTAGATATGGACTCCATGGTGGAGCCGCATACTCCAGGATTGGCCTGACATATGTGGTATACAAGCTGCTCTATGATTCCTTACATACGTTTATAAAGTTTCTGCGCGCGCGTGTGTGTGTGTGTGTGTTCGTGTCCCCACACACACACACACACACACACACACACACACACACACACACACACACACACACACACACACACACACACACACACACACACACACACACATACATACACCACCAGTTCCAAGTGCTGACCATCCTGGTGGCCCCACAGCTGCAGACACTGTGTGAGAGCTCCCGGCTCTACGAGCCCGGCTCCCAGTACATGGAGTTTGTGAAGAGACTGGGCCCGTCGGTGAGCGTGGAGCAGCCCGAGACGCCCTTCACCTTCCAGCCCTACACCCCCGGCGCCCAGGACCTCCCTGGCAATAACGACCCCACTGCCAATGGTTCCGTGGCCTCCGCTGACGACCTGCCAGGTGGGCACGACTCTCACACCTGTGTTGGAGTTATTGAAATAAGTTGGAACAGTTTGCTTTACATGTGAAATTGATGAGTTATCATGTTAATAACTGAACCAGATATTCATGTGTTGTGCTGGTTATTTGGTTGTGTGTACACAGTCTTTGCTCTCTCTCTCTCTCTCTCTCTCTCTCTCTCTCTCTCTCTCTCTCTCTCTCTCTCTCTCTCTCTCTCTCTCTCTCTCTCTCTCTCTCTCTCTCTCTCTCTCTCTCTCTCTCTCTCTGTGTCTCTCTGTCTCTCTATCTCTCTATCTCTATCTCTATCTCACCTTCACCAAGGAAGTTCACCTTCTTCACCAAGGTCGACCTTCCTCTTCACTCACCAAAGTCGACCTTCCTGTCCACTGACGAACAGAACATACATATATTAGTCGCTAATTTAACCAATGTGTTCCCCCCATATTGTCTCCCTGGCGCGTGTCGGCGTCACCGTGTCAGTGGGTCGACTGGTGGGACAAGGCGGCAGCGACACCGACAGCGTCGGGTCGTCGCACTCGGCCAAGAGTGCCGACGCCTCGCCCACGCACTCTCCCCGACCCACCGCCAGGCGGACCCACACCGTCTCCTCCGGCGATGAACTGGAGACTGACCCAGACATTGGTGAGTGCAAAGCTTGCTACGGTGAGTGTAAAG